GATGCGGGACTCGATCCAGGGACTCCAGGATCATGACCTGAGCCGAAGGCAGTCGCTTAACCAACTGAGCCACCCAGGCGCCGTGGCCTGTTTTTAATATTCTATTTTTGAGTAATCCCTACACCCAACCTGGGGCTTGAACTCACAACCACCCCTGAGATCAAGAGTCACAGGCTCCACTGACTGAGCCAGCCAGGTGCCCCTGCTTGGCATTTTTAATCCTTGTAATTCTCAGAGCACGGTATTCCCTTCATCGTACAGAGAAAAAAACCAGAAGCTCAAGGCAGCGATGTGTGCGGCTCACCGAGTTAGTAAGTGCTAGGAGCCCAGGCTCTGTCCGATCACATCCCCATGTATTTTCCCTCCTAGGATCAAGTATTGTAACTACGTGAAAACGTTTGCAAAGCGAGATACCACTTGAGAGATTAAGGAAAGTTGAGGGCAGAGTGGAGTACTAGAGGTCCCTTCCCCCGCCTTACGTTGTTGCCCACCCCCCCCCCAACAGGTGGACAAGGGCGTGGTACCTCTGGCAGGAACAAATGGCGAGACTACCACCCAAGGTGAGAACTGCTCTGCTCCCTGCCCTCCAGACCTACCCCTCCGGGTGGCACCCATCCCATCCTCCACCATGCTCTGACTCTTCTGCTCCCCATCCAGGGCTGGATGGGCTGTCTGAGCGCTGTGCCCAATACAAGAAGGATGGAGCTGACTTCGCTAAGTGGCGCTGTGTGCTAAAGATTGGGGAACACACCCCCTCAGCCCTTGCCATCATGGAAAATGCCAATGTTCTGGCCCGTTACGCCAGCATCTGCCAGCAGGTGGGCTGGCGGGTCCCCAACAGGCCACCTCCCACCTCTTTGTTCCAGAGTGTCAGCTAGCCTGCCACCCATCTGTCAGGATACATGCCCCCTCCCCCCCCAAAGGCATCTGTTCTGGATCCTCACCAAGCTTCCGGCTTGGGCCGATGGAGGATACTCGAGGGCTCTGTGAACAGAGGGGCAGAAGAGGGATTGTGTGGGTGGCTTGGAGGACATGCCTGTCTCCTGCAGTCCACTGAGGGCTGTGAAACCATGAGTGTCTGTCGTTGTGGACAGAAGATTGCTGGTGACTGTGGAGAGCTGTAGGTGGGCTCCAGGTTAGGAGGCCTCATGGCTACCCTGTCCCTCACTCCACAGCATGGCATCGTGCCCATTGTGGAGCCTGAGATTCTCCCTGATGGGGACCACGACTTGAAGCGCTGTCAGTATGTAACCGAGAAGGTAAGGTGCCTGCCTGCCTGGGCAGTGTGGTGGCTGGGCAGCTGGGCCGGGGGCCTTGGGGCTGACCCCTGTCCCTACCCCGCCCCCAACTCCACCCTGATCCACCTTGGCCCTGCTCTGCTGTAGGTGCTGGCTGCCGTCTACAAGGCTCTGAGTGACCACCACATCTACCTGGAAGGCACTTTGCTGAAGCCCAACATGGTAACCCCAGGCCACGCCTGCACCCAGAAATATTCTCATGAGGAGATCGCCATGGCAACTGTCACAGCCCTGCGCCGCACAGTGCCCCCCGCTGTCACTGGTGAGACCCACATCCTCCTCTTGACCTCTCGGAGGTAGATGAACTGCACCCACAGTCTTTAAGCCCATTTGGTCAGATTTTCCCGTCAGTTTCTAGAGGCTGCTACCAATCCCCAGGTCTTTGCCTACAACCACTTACCCCACTTTACCCCTTGTTCTACAGGGATCACCTTCCTATCTGGAGGCCAGAGTGAGGAGGAGGCATCCATCAACCTCAACGCCATCAACAAGTGCCCCCTGCTGAAGCCGTGGGCCCTGACCTTCTCTTATGGCCGAGCCCTGCAGGCTTCTGCCCTGAAGGCCTGGGGTGGAAAGAAGGAGAACCTGAAGGTTGCCCAGGAGGAGTATGTCAAGCGAGCCCTGGTAAGGATGGGACTGGATGGAGGTGGGCAGGGTGTTGGGGTGGATGGAATTCTGATGAGACCTCACTCTGGCTCCTTTCCCCTCTTAGGCCAACAGCCTCGCCTGCCAAGGAAAGTACACCCCAAGTGGTCAGGCCGGGGCTGCAGCCAGCGAGTCCCTCTTCATCTCTAACCACGCCTACTAAGCGGAGCTGTTCTAAGGCTGCCCCCTCAACACTCCAACCCCTGCCCCCTCCCACACTCACTCTTGAAGAGGGGGCCTCACCGGGGCTCCAGGCTGCTCTTTCCCATCACTTTGCCTCGCGCGTGACATTGGTGTGTGGTGTTGTCTGTATATGCTAATTCCATCGCTCTTTCCAGTCCACTGCCAATAAACAACTATTTAAGGGGGAGTCTGCTGTCCATGTCTGGTGTTCAGGCCGGGGAGGGCCAGGGGAGGTGGCAGAGCCTAGAAGAGTCCTTTCTGTTTGTCCTTGCAAGGCAGGAGAAAATCGAATGGATTGGGAGAGGACCTTCCTACATTGTTTTACGCTTGTCCAGGGCTTCAAGAAGAGAGCTTGTGAAATTTTCTTCCCACCATCAAGGGCTTCGCCCCCTTTTGCCAGCAGCACCTGATAAAGCTCACAGTTGGGGACTATGTGTGTAACTGTTAGGCTCAGCTGCACTTTTAGACCCAGAATTCAGAGATACAGAAGGCCCCTGTGACAAAAACCGTCACAAAAGCCAACATTTCCCGAGTGCTATAAGCCAGGAGACAGAAGTGATCTATATGAGTAGGTGCTCACGCTTAAGGCTGTACTGCCTGAGATTGCCCTTTCTTGATGAAGACAAGATTATTAATACCTACGTCCTTCATCTACACTGTTGAGCTGGTCTGTTTTCCCATCTTAACAGGAGATGGGATTAGAACTGGCTTCTTAATCTTCTTTGGGCTGGGGAAGCCCTTGACAAACCTGGAATCCCTTTCCAAAGCGGCCTCAGCAGCACAACTGTGGGGCTCAGGTTCTGGGTTAAGCCCTGAGCCAACGTAGCCGCTGTATTCCATGTAGCCAGAATGAAGGCCCTGCACTTAACCCCTGTGCCATACCTTGGACCCTTCCCCGGTCACCCAGGCTGAGGTGTAGCAGTAACTGCATCAGCTCTTCTGAGCTGTTCAATTAGATCCTGGTCATAACCGGGGACCTCGTGAGTCTTGCCATTTCCTGAATTTCCTGATACGAGGCCCTTTCCTGTCTGAGCTTACCTCTAGAGAGAAAAAATAATCTCGACTATTGTGGTCTCTCTGGACTTAACCGAATCCCTGTAGTGATGCTCATAGAACTGACTGACTAGGACCTTCTAGGAGTTTTAAGGACTCGGTCCTTAAAACTCCTTGCATTGTCCAAACCCACTCTTAGTGCTCCTCTAAACTTTGGCCTCACTTCTGTGCCTAGCCTCAATTCTCTGTGAAACCAAATAAAGCAAATAAAAATGGAAGGTCAACAGAAGATAGTAAAAAGAACTTTTCAAAAGGGAGCAGCCTGTGCAAAGGCTCAGACACCACAACGTGTGCTTACAGACCATCATCTTAAATGTCGGTTTGGGGCTTTGGACCTTTTATAAAAGAGTGAATTCCAGAACGTGTAAGTGATAGGTGGAGAAACTAGAACGGATTCCTTAAAAAAAAGGAATACAACTTGGCGGACAAGAGGAAGCAACTGAGGGATGTCGGGGACTCTTCTGGAATCAGGGAGGTCACGTTGACTGAGATGTAAGCTAGGTGTGAGCAAGGTGGCCTCCTTTCTGCCTCTCACTTCAGAGGTCCTCTATGGCAGAGTTCTCCGGGGCCGTGGAAAGAGATTTGGACAGGATTCCTCCGTCCATTGAACACATACTTAGGTATGCCTACTGTGCCCGGCCGTGTTCCAAGCACTGGGGCCGCAGGGGTGACCCTCGGGGACTAATGGGGGAGGCCGACGCAAACATAAAATCAAAGCGTGCAACGAAGTTACAAGCGGAGCCGGAGCTCCGCTTGCTTCCCTCACTGAGACCCGAGGGGAGCGGACCGAGGTGTCCATCGGCCCGAGTAGCGCCGGCCCGCTGGCCCGGGTCACCCCCGCCCGCAAGCTGCCGACATCCGGTTCCATAGCTCATTTCCATTCTTAGGCTCGAGAGGTGGGGTTAGGGGCGCGGCGCCGGAGGGGGAGGGTGTGTATGACGCCACATCCGGCGCGCGGCGGAACTGGTCCCCCTTTGCTTCCGCGGCGGGGCCGGAAGTAGAAGCGGCGGCGGCGGCGGCCCGAAGCGTAGGGAAGGTGGAAGGCAGGGAGCTCGGGAGCGGGAGCCGGAGTCGCGGCGGCGGTAATAGTCTGAGACCCCTCTAGGCCACCGTCCCGAGCGCGGGGCCGCGGGGTTCGACGGGAGTTAGCGGGGAGCGGCCAGGGCCGTGGGACTTTGGGGGTCCCGGGGCCGATGTGACGGGAGGCGAGGGTGGGGGGGCCGGGCCAGCTCCAGGATGGAGTTGCCTCCCTACCTCCACCCCCGGCGCGCCCTACGGACAGTCTGATCCACGGGCTCGTCTTCGCCTTTCTCAGGAGACCCCTGTGCGGTGCGGAGGGGGCGACGGCCCCGGCTCTGACCCGCGCCGGGGGGGTGGGCCATGGCGGAGATCAGCGACCTGGACCGGCAGATCGAGCAACTGCGGCGCTGCGAGCTCATCAAAGAGAGCGAAGTCAAGGCCCTGTGCGCTAAGGCCAGGTGAGCCGGGTGGCCCCGCTGCCCAGGGGTTCCGACCTGGGGCAGACCCCGCTGAGAACTTGGGGCCTGGCTTATCCTGGAATCTTTCCCAGAGAGAAGCAGACTAGGGCCACTTCCCTCGAGGAGCAACCAGCCTGTTGGGAGAAGACAGACCTGGAGAAAGATACTTAAAAGTATTAGGTGATGTGTTTTCAGTGGCGTTAGAGAGTTATAAAAAGTACTTAGGAAGCTCAGGGAGACCACCCTTCTTGTCGGCGGAACAGAGGTTTCTTGGAGGAACTGAACTTTGGGGATAGGCCTTGAAGAATAAGATGATAAAAGGGAGTGTCCACAGAAGTTCAAGGCAGAAAAGCTAAAGACTCTGTAGTTTATGAAATTCTTTTTAATTCTAAGAACAACCCCTAAAGGCGGGTGGTGGTGTCCCCATTTTGCAGGTGAGGACTCTTATGTTCAGAGTCAACCAGCAAGTAAGGGTTGGAGTCTGAAGCCAGCGCTCCATGTCCTGTCTCTTTTCAGGCCTTAATGCAAGATGGTGGAGTTGGATCACCTCGTGTTCAGGGTGAAATGGTAGCAAATAAGCCAGAGTAGAATTAAATCTGACTGAAGGGAGGCCCATGGGAAGTAGGATGATGTGGTGGTTAAGAGCTCAGACTTTGGAATGTGATGATTCTAGGTTGGAATGTGAGCCCTGCCACTTACTGGCTGTGTTGGTGATCTCGAGGTCTCTGCACGGTGTCTTCATTTGTAAAGTGGGAATAATAGTTTTTAAGAAGGTGATGGTGAAGAACCAGTAAGTTGGTGCTTGGGATGAGCTTAGCATAGCGCCTTGGTACAGTGGAAGTGCTCAGCAGTCTTTAGGTGTTACTGTTAGGACTGTGTAGGAAGAGGGCATTGCCGATAAGGACTGATGTCACCAGAGAAGGCTTCTAAGAGAAGGTGGCCTTGAAAGATGGAACTAATTTGGAGAGCTGATGGGAGCAGGGCCAGGGAGGAAGGACATTCCCAGTAGGATGAGAGCAGGAGTAGAGGCTCTGAGATGTGTGGGCACCGGTGAGGAGACCACTTACCTGCCTCCCCCGAGGTACTGTTTGCGGCTTGCACCACGCTGGAGATTATGAGGAAAGAGCCAGCAGAACGACCGTACATTTGCTGAACAACAGGCCCACTATTATACAACAGGCCTCGTACTGACAAGCAACTTCTGCCTTCTCCACAGCAACCTTGTGAGGTTGGAACTATTCGCTCCCTTTAGCATGACTCCTAGAGGCCTCTTGACTTGACTGAGGTCACCCAGAGAGAAAGTGGCAGAGCTGGGTTCTGAACTTGTGGCTTTCAGCCTCTTGCTTGGCTTTACCTCAGACAGACCCACAGCGGCCAGACAAGGCCTGTTTGACGAACAGGCAAGGCCTCGTTTTTAAATGCGTGTCTGTGACTCTGTGTTTTGCCAGCTAAAGAAAATTTCCCTGACTGGACCAGCCCCAAGGTGTTTTTAGTCATCCCTGTTCTCTCGGTTTTGAGTGGCATTTTTAGGAACTTAAACCAATTGTTGCTTGGCACCGTTTTTTTTCCTGTAAGTCTCATCCTGCCCCGAGGGCCTGAATTGATTTGGTGGTGATGGTAGCTAGTACTTGCATCTAGAGAGCTGGTCGCCGCTCTCTCTCTATATATCAGTATAGTAAGAGAACAGAGGATTTGTTTTTTGTTTTTAAAGATTTTATTTATTTATCTGAGAGAGTGAAACAGAACACGAGCAGGGGGAGAGGGAGAAGCAGACTCCCTGCAGAGCAGGGAGCCCGATGCGGGGCTCGATCCCAGGACCCTGAGATCATGACTTGAGCTGAAGGCAGACGCTCAACCAACTGAGCCACCCAGGCGCCTCAGAGCGGGGCGTTTGAATCAGGTGGTCTTCACTATGAATTCTAGCTTTGTCACCTATAAACAATGTAATCCTGGTCAAGTCACTTTACCTCTCCAAGACTTTGATGTTATTATGGAGCTCAAATGGGATTCTGCATATGTAGGGACAGGGACTGGGACTTTGGCAGGCACTTCCTAAAGGTGGCATTTGTTGGCGGAAGTAAAGGTGGGCAGGTGTGAGCCCTGAGAGTGCGGATGGTGTGCTGCGAGTGACAGAGCTGGGGTCGGAGGCTGGCCCTTGTTCCCAGACCCTGCTGGGCCTTGCCTGCACTGGGTGGGGAGCGTTAGACCCGGAATCTGTGGGTGAGGCCGGCACGAATTCTTAGGGGATTGGGCTCCTGAGTTCCACTTCTTTCACTCTCCAGCTTTGTGACCTTGATCCTGCCCTTTTTTTCTCTAAGCTTCGGTTTCTCTGTCAGATGAGGATGAAAAGAACCTCCCTGGGTCAGCTGGGAAGGTCATCACAAGCAGTTGATGTGGAAGGATGTAGGACACAAGAGGCAGTCCCTATGGGAGGGCCTGGTTGCTGATGGTCCCTCAGACCCCTGCCAGGGCCTCTTCCCATTCCCACAAAGCCAAGCAAGCACACTTCCCTCCAGCCTTTGTCAGAGAGAGTACTCTCAGGGACATAGGTAAAACCACGAGTTCTCTGAGCTCAGGGAGCTCCTAGTCTCCAAGCAGGAGGCTGGCAGAAAAAGGTAGGCGAGTGCCCAGGGCCCTCCCACACCAGAGCAGCTTGATAAAGGCGCCAGACCCCGGAGCCAGGCCTCCTGGTTCAAGTCCCCCCGGTAGGACTGCGGCCAGTTTATTCATCTGAGCAGTAGGCGGCGTCACAGTGCCTGCCTTTGGGGTTGGCTCTTCAGTTGTGTCATCGATGCAAAGCTCTTACTACGGTCCCGGGGCACGGCGTGAACTGGAGTTGTCACTGCTGCTGTCATCAAGGTCGAAATCTGGAAGCGTGGCACCTCTTCCATTGGCTGTCTGTAATTGACCAAGTGGTTTTATGTCACGTACCCTCAAGTAGTAATAGACTCCGCTGCAGGGAGAAATGAAAGAACAAAGTTGTCACTCCCTCTAAATAAGGAAAAAGCACAGTGCATCACTTTGACGGTGTGTCTGATGACTGGGTGCCTTTGGACGGTCTGGGCGAGGCCTCCGTGATGGGCAGAGGGACTGTAAGCTCAACGGGGGACACGGTCTCAGAGCGCTCCAGGCCGAGGGAGCAGCGTGAGCCGAGGGCTCTGTGCGGAGAGGAGGTCTGTTTTCTGGAATGAGCCCTGGATGTGTGACAGAGGGCAGCAGGGAGGGTCAAGGCTTGGAAGGCCACTGCCTCCTTGGAAGGGCTTTGAATGCAGTTAGAGTTGGGGCTCTGGCCTGTTGGCCTTGGGGAAGCCCCGTCAGCCCATCCTGGGGATCTTGCACACCTCACTCTTGCCCCCTAGAGGTTCAAGGGCTACCTCATATCCTCCCCTCAAAAAGATGTGGAATTGGGCTGGGCTGGCCTGGCTGTGGTGACCCTGGTCTTCTCCTGTCTCCAGAGAGATCTTGGTAGAGGAAAGCAACGTACAGAGGGTGGACTCGCCAGTCACAGTGAGTACCGTCTGTCCTTTCAGAGCCTAGCTTGGGCTTTTAGGCACGTGGGCATTCCCCTTAATCTTGGGGGCTGCCAAGGTCTCCCCCTCATCCCTGAGAGCCCAGAAAGCCCCGTGTATCTGCTCCCTCTCCCAGCTTCAAGGGAGCCTTGCTATATGAAACGGATGTTATGGGAAGGCTCTTTTGATTTGTTGGGGGGATGCTCTTGGCCAGAGCAGAAGGCCTCTTAATATGGTGAGTGGTTCTACTCCACACGTTCCTGTGTATTCTGTTATTAGTAGCTTTCTTCTGGGTTCTTTGGGGGGGGAACAGGGAGAGGAGGGGCCAGGTCCTCCAGAAGCTACAGGTCTAGCTGGAAAGACCTGGCTCTAGCTCACCCCCCCAGAATAGTTGGCACTCTGTGTGGGATGGGGTGTGATTCCAGACCAGGCGAAGTCGGGGTAGGAGAGTAGATTTTTGGCCCTGAGAAGTAGAGACTCGGCCAGGAGTGGTAAGGAGCTCCTGAAGCAGTGGGTGTTGTGAAGGCTGGTCCCTGGGAGCAGAGCTCTCAGACTGCATGAGTTCCGACCCACCTCTCCTCACTTCCCAGGTGTGCGGCGACATCCATGGGCAATTCTATGATCTCAAGGAGCTGTTCAGAGTAAGTGTGCGGAGACTCGGGGACAGGGGACCTGGGGGCTGACTGGAAGGCCCCTCTCATTGAGAATGGAAGCTTTGAACTTGGTGCGTGGAGTGTGGGTGAGAGGCCTGTAGTTAGGCAGGCCCTCCGAAAGAAGGGCCGCCACTTGACTGGCAAACGGGCTGCCATGGTAAGGGACGTTTTGGGACCAAGCAGAATCTTCTTCCCCCCCCCGCAGGTGGGTGGCGACGTCCCTGAGACCAACTACCTCTTCATGGGGGACTTTGTGGATCGCGGTTTCTACAGCGTCGAAACGTTCCTCCTGCTGCTGGCACTTAAGGTGGGAACCCGGCTTCGGGTGCCCACAGCTGGGTCATCAGACCTGACCTGTCTGTGTCCTTTCTGCCCGCTCTCCTGCCCCATCCGCCTCCAGCTCCGAGCTGTGTGGCTGGGGTGCAACTTGCCAGGGGGCAGGCAGAGCCGCTCTCCTCGGCTTAGGGGCGTCTGATGGGCCCCCTGTGCGTTGGAGGGGAGGGAAGAAAGCCCCCCACCCCATGTTCAGAAAGTGGCAGGGCATTGAGTTCGCCTAGGTCCAGTATCCATTGGTGGGCGAGATGACAAGGCGCCTGGGGGTCTGGGGAAGGACTTAGTGGTGAAAGAGGAGCCAGTAAGTTCGTGGTTGATGGAGAGGGGTCAGCCTCAAATCCCCCCGAGGAGGGCCTTGGGCCCGCGCGCTGGATGCAGCAGGATTCGGGGCGGGGGTGGGGCTGACACCTGTGAGGAGGTCTGGGAGGGGTGGGTGAGGTGACGAGAGAGGGACGGAGCGCAGAGCCCAGCCCCGCGTGGGGGGCTGCCCGCAGGTCCGCTATCCTGACCGCATCACCCTGATCCGGGGCAACCACGAGAGCCGCCAGATCACCCAGGTCTACGGCTTCTACGACGAGTGTCTGCGCAAGTACGGCTCGGTGACGGTGTGGCGTTACTGCACTGAGATCTTTGACTACCTCAGCCTGTCGGCCATCATCGATGGCAAGGTAGGCCAGCCGCCGGGCCCGCGGGGACGGGACGCGTGGCAGAGGCGCGGCGCCCAGCTTGCCTTCGCTCCTCTCTTGTCTCCCTGTAGATCTTCTGCGTGCACGGGGGCCTCTCCCCCTCTATCCAGACCCTGGACCAGATCCGGACGATTGACCGAAAGCAAGAGGTGCCCCATGATGGGCCCATGTGTGACCTGCTCTGGTCTGACCCCGAAGGTGAGGGCGGGAGGGCAGGCAGGGGCAGGCGGGCTCTCCCCTTCATTTGGCAGGACACTGAGGGGCTTCTGTGGTAAAAGGACAGTTAAAGGTTAAAGTGTGGAAGGGACAGTCGGGCCAGGAGGTGGGGAAGAGCAGAGCGGGGCTGGTCTCCGCCGGCACCCTCGGTGAGGAGGTGCGTTGAGCTCGGAGAGGGGTTGGGCGTGTGTATCATCGCTCAGAGGCTTGTTTGGGACGAAACCATCTGTGCCCTCGATGAGAAGGGCCTTCTGCAGAGGGTAGACTCCCAGAATGCTGGCCCCATGAGGATCCCTCCTCTTGTGGGGTTCCCCAGCTCGTCTGGAGCAGAGCCGGGATTGAAAGCCGAGTCTCCCAAATACCCGTCCAGAGCTCCTTCCGTGATAACACAGCCTCTGCTCGGTCACTGCCCTGCCCGGCTGCCTGGCCGTCCCTCCCAGGGTGGCCGGGACAGCCCTCTTCACACCTGCTGGACCCACGGGGTCATGATCAGCACCTCCTTTCACTTTCGGGTACACCTGTTTGGCCAGTAAATCACATGGTCACTCTGATGACGGGGCAGCTCCAGCTCTCAGAAAATGCTTCCTTCCTTGGAGCTTCTCTGCTTCAGCATCTGTTGTCCTGTCTCCAGGATCCCCCAGAACACACTCAGGCCCTGGGCTCTTGCCCCATGGGCCTGAGTGGGAGAAAGGGATGGGGTGTTCTCTTTCGAAGGGCAGTGGGCACCAGAGAAGCCTTGAGGACACCCTCCCCCCTCCTCCCCCCCCCCCCCCCCCCCCCCCCGGATCCCTACCTTCCTTTGCCTCAGACACAACAGGCTGGGGCGTGAGCCCCCGCGGGGCTGGCTACCTGTTCGGCAGTGACGTGGTGGCCCAGTTCAACGCGGCCAACGACATTGACATGATCTGCCGCGCCCACCAACTGGTGATGGAAGGTTACAAGTGGCACTTCAATGAGACTGTGCTCACTGTGTGGTCGGCACCCAACTATTGCTACCGGTGAGCTGCCCGGGCCAGGAGGTCGAGGTGGGGGCGGGGAGCCCTGCTGACCCACTCCTCTGACGCTGCTGCCCTCCCGCTCGCAGCTGTGGGAATGTGGCAGCCATCTTGGAGCTGGATGAGCATCTCCAGAAAGATTTCATCATCTTCGAGGCTGCTCCCCAGGAGACCCGGGGCATCCCCTCCAAGAAGCCCGTGGCCGATTACTTCCTGTGATCCCTCCAGCCCCTGCCCCTCCAGCCTCTCTGGCCCTCGGACCACTGTGACTCTGCTCTCGTCTCCCTACGGAGGCTGGGCATCCGGGGTGGGGGGCTGTCTCGGCTCTGCTCTCCCCCCAGAGAGGGCACTGCGAGGGTGAGGACTTTCTCTGGAGAGGCTCGGAGTGTCAGCTCCATGCTCCTCTCCTTTCTCCCCACTTGAACCATGGAGTTTCCAATAATTTTTTGGTTTTCTTTTTTCCTTTTTTTTTTTTGTTTGTTTTTAGATAAAAAATTTTGAGAGAAAAAAAAAATTCTAATAAAAGGAGAAAAATGGTCTTTGGGTTTGTGTCAGGCTTGATTGGTAACGAGCAGCGACGCCGGCCTGGCACTTGGGGGTGCGCAGAGCACCTTGACTGCCCTGGAGCCTCCTGGTCTATATCCAGTGACAGTGACTGTTCCCAGAAGACTTGCCACGTGCTAGGTAGAGGGCTGGGTTCTCAGAAGCAGCCTTATTTAATTGTCAAAACAAGTGAGTGTCAGGACATTCGGATTTCCCCATTTCCCTGAAAAGGAAGTAGCCCCAGAGCCGTTGATTTACCTGCACGAGGTCAAGCAGTTGGAAAGTGGCAAGTCGAAATCAGGGCCCAGGTCTCCCCACAAAACCTTCGCTGGCCCAGCCCCGCCCAGGGCTAAGCAGCATTAACCGACGTTTCTAGAGGACTGAGATCTTTTTGAGTTTTATTAACAAAAATACTCTGGTCCTGAGAACAGACTGGTGTGGCCTGCACTGGGGCGAGGGGGTAGAACTTGCGGAGCCGGAGGGTGAGGCCCAGGAGGTGGGAGTGCTGGGCAGTGGCCCCATTTGGCCAGGCAGAGCCTCCCTGCATTCACACGGAGGTGAGAGCCTGGAAGGGGAAGCTGGCCCCAGCGGGACTCCCAGCAGCTTAGCCAGGGCTTTGAAGCCAGGGTGGGTGGGAGTGAAATCAAAGTGTGAAGTGGGGTGGTGGGGGAGGCCCCAGGCAGCCATTTGGTGTGGGGGATGGGGCCAGTGGAAGTGATGGGGCCGCAGGCCTGGGGGAAGGGCAGCGGAGGCCTGTGATGGAAGACAGGGAGGGAGGCAGAGGGGCCCAGTGAGAGCTCAGTACATTGGTTTGGAGCCCACATCCAGGTAAGCCCCAGGGCCGGGGTAGGCAAGGGGGAAGGGGCCCCCCTGGAGGAAGTGCGAGGCGAAGGATGCTGCGGGTGCAGCTGCTGGGTATCCTGAGCCCCCCGGCCCAGGCTGCAGCTCCAGGAACGCAGCCGAGTAGGGGGCTGCACGCCCCGAGTCTGGAGCCTCAGGGAAGCTGGGGTTCCTGAAGTAGAGAGAGGTGTCAGAACAGGGGAGAGGGACCCCCCAACCTTGAACAGCCCAGCTCTGTGCCTTTGTCCCACTCGCCTGGTTGGAAGGTGACTGGGGGCCCCATGAAAAGCCGCCGGGTGCAGAAGGTAGGCTTGGGCGCTGGAGCCACCACACGGAGGAGCTGGGGCTGGGGCAGCTTCGCGGGGGGCCGGGGCCTGCTCCGCATCCGGCTCGCGGACATCCCCACCCAGCGTGGAATCGCAGGGACCGCCTGGTGCATCTGGGGAGACGGAGGGGACGGGCTGGGCTAAGGAGGACTGGCACCTGAGGACTGGCCCCCGTCACTACTGAGACTACGCTCACCTCCACTCCCATAGGCCTCTGCGGCTACCGGCTCTGGGCCCCGCAGTTTCCTCTTCACACGGGCATCTCGCTCCCTGGAGAACAGTGACAATGATGATGATGGTGACGGTGATGATGATGGTGATGATGATGGTAATAATAGCACTTGCCAGCTGCCAGGCATTTCACCCTCCCAGGGACCCTGTCGGGTAGGTGCCATTATTATACCCATTTTACAGAAGAAGGAACTGAAGGCCAGAGAATTAAGTGACCAGAAAGCAGTGGAGCTGGGCTCAATTTCCCCCTTAAAACTTTCCACTGCTTTCCTATTGCATGTATTGCGTTTGGGAAAGTGCTTCCCACGCTAGAAGGCCAGGGCATGCTCTGAACCCAGCTCACCCCGCCTGGCTTGCCAAGCCATCATCAGCCACCTTGCCGCCGGACTCGGGAACCCTCTTCCGTCTGCCCCTGCTCCCCTGTTCAGCTCATCCTCCTCTCAGTTCCCATTCTTGTGTCACTTCCTCAAGGAAGCCCTCCCGACCTCCCACAGCACGACACAACCTCCCTCATGACATCTGTCCACAGTTCACATTTGTTCGGGTGACCCTTTGATTAATGGCTGCCTGGCTGTACACGCCTTGAGGGAGCCAGAGTCCCCAATAAAGCTTTACCGTCCAACATGACGTGGCTTCCCTCCGCCTCTGACTTGCCCAAGCTTGCCCTCCAGGCACACCACAGGCGCCATCCTCCCTCAGGGCCCTTGCGTAGGCTGTTCCCGCTTCTTTGCCCCGCTTTGCCTCAGATACCCACTGTACGTCCTCCAGGACTTGTCCAGGCCTCTAATCTAATACATACCTCACTCCGATCCTTCCTATCGTCCTTCCTTCCTTTATTTCTTTTCTCTTCAGAACTTATCCCTAACATACTATATTTTACTTATTTCTGTCTACTTGCCTACTCTGTCCCCTCGAGTATCAGTCCCGTCAGGGCAGGGGCTTTGGTTTTGTTCACTGATGGATCTCCGGCGCCTAGAACTGGGCCTGGCACACAGCAGGTGCCAAATGGAAGGAACGAGTGAATAGACGTCTTTACTTACCACTGTGTTCCTGGCACACCGCGGTCAGCTCGCAAACATTTGCTGAATGAACGAGGGAATGAATGAACAATGCCCACCTCTTACAGTTTCTGCCATTCTCCCGGAAGCCCTTGGCAAAGGGATTGGCTGCGATCTTCAGTTGTGTGATCTGGGGACACACACATCCAGGGTCAAAGCGCCCGTGGCCCCGGGGGCAGGGCCCACCGCCGCCCCCAAGCGGGGTCACTTACCCGCGGGTTCTGGTAGGCTGTCACAGAGATGAATGTGGTCTCAGGGAAGCGGAAGGAGGCGACACCGCCCCAGTGCTGGCTGCAGAGCTGGGCTGCCCGCACCAGGTGTATGCGGGGCTGGTACTTGTGCATGGAGTGCAAGATCAGCTGGGAGAGAAGGACCAAGCTGACTCCCTGCCTGGGGCCCCACCCCCACCCCTCAGCCTGTCCTCCCTGCCGGCCGGGGCCTCACATGGCCGTGGGGGTCCAGGGTGCTGTTGGTGAGCTTGACACGGTGGAAAGACACAGGCTGCCGCATCCAGTGGGCGCCCGTGGCAGGAGAGTCGGGGTGAATGTAGACGCGGTCAGGCAGGCGGGGCTCCGCCTTGCCGCTGGGCTCCCAGCGCCGGCCCTGCCAACGGTAGCGAGCCCCATCCACTGGAACCACATCCAGAAGAAACAGGTAGCGGGCCTCGGGGTCCAGGCCAGTGACTGATACTCGACAAGCAGGGAACATGCGCCTGGACAGGGGAGGCGATGGGAGAGGCCTGGCACTACCCACTGGCCAGGAGTGGGCACAGCGCCGGCAGGGGCCACGGCCCCCGCGGGCTCACCCAGCTTTGTCAGAGAAACATCCAGGAAGGTGGAATTAGAATTCAGAGGGCAGGGTCTTCGAGCTGGAGGCTTGTCTCATCCCATTTTACACACGGGAAACAGGACAGACAGGAGATCTGACCAGGGTCACACAGCAGATTAGGAGCAGAGCCCGGACCCCTGACTCCTTAGCCCCTCCAACTCCACCGCAGAATTGGTGGCGACACACTTCTGTCCCTAAAATCTTGCCAGGAGTCTGCTGCTCCCCACTCTGGTCTCCTCACCTAATCTCCAGCACCAGAGTCTACACCGCTGGCGAAACCTGCTTCGGGAAAAAAATGTCCTGCCTGCAGTGAGGCAGAGGACTTAGCATGCTCGGGCCCGAGCTTCCGGCCTAGAAAGACACGGGCCACACACTGGCCACATCCCTGCCTCCAGGGTGACTCCGGACCTAATCACATACTGACCCTGATCCTGGCCAGATTTCCCTGAATGCTGGTCACTGGCGGCCCTTGACCGCAGGCTGACCCCCGGTCTGGGCCACAAATGAACCTATAGCCCAGCGAGACTTTCTGACCCAGACCCAGAATGACCTAGGACCCTTGCTATAGGTTGGTCCTTAAACCAGCTACAGATTCCACAGACTGACCCTTGGCCCTTGCCACCGAATGACCCCTGATCCAGCCTTAGAGTAGCCCTTGACCCAGGCCACACTCGCACCCTGAACTTAGGCAGAGCTCTAGACCCTCTAGCAACCCCCAAACCTAGCCCCATCACCAGGAACTCTGCCTTTCCCAAAAGACCCCCACCAGGAACACACTGGGCCCTTTGACCCTGGCCCAGCCCCTCACCTCCCAGCTTTGGTGATGATCATCTCTGTTCCCACAGAGTTGAACTCTTTCCACAGCTCCCGGTTCTCCAGGCTCAGGCTGACTCCGGGGAGCGAGTGAAGGGCCTCTGGGGCTGGGGGGGCCGGCTCAGTGCCCAGGGCTGGGGGCAGCGGGGGCAGGGGTGGGGGAGCAGCCAGGGTGCAGGGAGCAGCCTCAATCCCGGAGAGGAAGCAATCCAACTTGGGAGTGTCCAGATCTGAAGATGGGGGCAGAATGAGGAGCCAGCAGAGGGCCACAGCCCCCCACGGTCCCTACACAGGAGCTGGTCCCCATGCTCACCAGGGTAGCGGTAGCCCTCTGCCAGGGCAGGCGGGAAGCTGGAATCTGTCCCCGGCTGGGGGGGCCCAAGGCGGTAGCCTGTCCCCAGGGAGGAGTACAACTCTCGTGGATGGTACATGGATGGAGTAGTCCTGTCTGGCCTCAGGTCACGCTGCCTAGAGTCAGTCCCCCGGTGCTGAGAGATGCCCCCTTTATAGCTCACAGCTCAGCCCCTTCCAGACCCAGGATCACAGCCCCTCCCCTATTTGGGGCCCTGGAGTTGGGCTGGGGTGGAGACCCCTGGGGCCTGGAAGGGGTCCAAGAGGGGGCCGGATACCTGGGTACCCTCCCCTTCTCCCCCCCCCCACCCCAGGCTTCATTAGCTCCGACCCCCTGCCCCCTCATTACATAATTAACTCCTCGGCCTGATTGATCCCCGGGGGCTCGACAGGGACGCAGTTTGGCGCTTCCGGCCAGCTGGTCCCCGTTCCCACGGGGGGAGCCCCGGCTAGGGATAAGCTACTCAGGGGCGGGGCCTAGACCCTGGGATGGAGCCTAGAGTCCTGGGGCAGACCTTGGCGCCCCAGACTTTTCTAGCAGGTACCCCCACCCCCCTTCACTTGGAGGCCAGGGCTTGGAGGGATGAAGCATGACTGGAGGGAAAGAGCAGGGCTGGAGGGACTCGGCCTGAGCTTATTGCTACGCGGGGCACTGGGGACCTCGAGGAGTCGGCAGCCGAGGCCCGAACCCTGAAGTCCTTCCTTCCTGCTTCCCATTCTGCAAAACCTCCACCCTCCGCAGAGTCTCCAAAGTGCAGAAGCACGCACAGTTCAGACAAGTCTCTGACGGCCGGCGCCGGAGTTTCCCAGAAGGTCCCGCGCTGGGGAACCCTCGGAACTACATTTCCCAGCAGGCCCAGCGCCGAGACTCGGGGTGAAGGAGACTGACAGTTGCCGCTGGGGCCGCTGGAAATTGTAGTCGCGACGAGAGGGGCGGTGAAACCGGCGGCGCGGAGAGCTTGCCTCTAGGCGGCGGCAAAACGCTAAAGCTGAGACGGCGCAGATCAGCCGAGGTCAAGGCCTAGGTGGGCAGAGTGGGGTCGGGAAGCTCCATGGGCAGTGAGATCGGTCCTGGGTCTCAGGGTTGAGCCCCCGGCGCGCAGACTCCCGGCTTTGACCGCAGTGCCTACCCCACGGCCTGTGGGGCCCAGAAAAGAACAGGTCTACAGAGGCAGGAATCTGCATTTGAGTCCCCCTTTCCCGGATTCCACGTGAGCCTGGGGCTGTCTCCACTCCATTGTTTTATTATGTACAAACGCTACAGAACGAGGGGAGCAGACACGCGTGGGGTAAGAGGGGCCCGGTGGGAGGAGTTCACAGGGCAGACGGCGCACCGGGGCCAGGGGAGCAGCACACGGGCCATATCTATAGGGCAGGTGGGGCAGGAAGGGGTTAAAAACGAGATCCAAGCCAGCCAGATCGCAGGGAGGTGCGGGGGTGTCGTCCACCTTCTGATCGCCCCCCAAGGTCACAGTGCATGCAATAAAATATATGTACAGGAGCTGGATCCTTCCTCTGCAGGGGCCCTGAGGGTCCAGAGCTCCCTTCTCGTGGAGGGAAGCCAGTGGCGCCCCCTGGCGGCCAGGCCGGGCTCGAGCCACATGCGGCAGGAGCAGGGGTCAGTCCCAGCCGTTGTCTTTGATCATGTGGTTGAGTTCAATGATGTACTTCCCCTCTTTGTACTTCTGGCTGCTCTCGAAGGCCTGTTCCTGAAAAGAGGGGAGAAGACATCATCCCTGGAGCAAAGGCTTTACCAAAAGGGATCGGGGTTGGGGAGCAGGTATGACTGGCCCCCTTTTACATATAACGAAACTGTGCAGAGAAGCCCGACCACCTGGCCACAAGACACAGAGCTGGTAAATGACAGAGCCAAGTTTCTCACTAATGGGACAGACCGAACTCTCTGAATTACTGGTACTTTTTAAGTACTAATGTTGGCTCCAACAGAGAGGGTATGGAAGTTTCTAAAAGATCCAGGGATTACAGACTGGTAGCTAAAGACCAGCTTTGACCTATGCAATGTGTTTTGTTTGACCAGCAGAGAGTTTAGTAAAAATAACTTTAAAATACCAAAATATAGGTGGGCCAGGCTCATTCCAGTTTGTCACAGACTGCCCCCTCCCTCCCCAGAGCTATGTTGCCCCTTTTGCAGACCCACAGGATCTTGGCCCTGCAAACACTTGAGTTTTTGACCTCTGGATCAGGCCATCTCTTTATTTGACAGAGGTCCAGAGAGGTTGAGCCACCCATCTGCGGACACAGAGCAAATCTGTGGCAAGGCCAAGGGTGAACTCGGGTTAGGGCAGCCGGCCTGGGGCATCCACCCCACAGAGGCACCACAGTTCCAAGTGATGCCCGAGGAGTCCTGGCCCTTGCCGTTTCCCAAGAGCATCTCCTCTTGCCGCATCTAATCTGATCCCCGTAACAATTCTGGGTGCCAGGTGGTGGCTTTCTCCTCCACTGCCTGATAAGGAAATGAGACTCAGGGTAGTGAAATCAGACCCTGGACAGCAGCTGTGGCAATGAGGGCAGTGAAAAGGAGGCTCATGGACCCAAGCTCCATGTTGCTGTGGGGTCTTCGGCAACTTCTCTGAACCTCTGAATGGCAGTGGAAGCTGGCCGTCAAGGATGTGGAGTTAAAAACAAACAAAACACACAACCAGGATTCTGGTCCCTATGCTGTTCCTTACAGTTGTGTGACCTTGGGAAAGTTACCTAACATCTCTGGGCCTTCTTTTCTTCTGTGAAGTGGAGTTAATAATAGATTCTACCCACAGGATTGTTGTAACGACGGAATGAGATAATGTGTGCCAAGCACACACAAACAGTGCATGGCCCAAAAGCCCTCAATAAATGGTCATTCTGATGGTGGCCTCATCTCTAAGATGGGGATGCATGTGTCTGTGAGGAGAGCGATGGGTGGAGAGACAAGTTCTGGAAGCCCTTGCAGGATGTGACAGAAGACAGCATGGCCAGGGGATGAAAAGACAGTCTGACTTGTGGGAGCTGGGCCTGTGCACTCTGAAAGATGACCACATGACTCCTTGTGAGGAGGAGGTGATGTGAGGTTGGGTCAAAGGGTAGCCTGGGGTCAGAGGTTACAGACTCACATATTTCCAGCCCAAAGTCGTCTTGCAGTTCTCGCAGTGGATGTCAGCGACAGCATGGAGGCCTGTCAGCAGCACCCGCTCCTCGGCTGGCCCGCAGCCCACGTTCACCCTGCGGGGACATGGGGGCAGTCCCAGGGAGGGTCCTGCCATCGCAAAGCCCCCCTCTAGCTTGTATCCAACTGTGTCTGTCCTTAGCAGCCAAGAGAAGGGCCATCACATCTTCCAACGTGAATCAGGGGACTCTGGGAGTCTCAGCATGAAGCCAGGGGTTACAGGTCACAACGGAGATCAGGGAAAGAAAGAAGGGGGACCGAATACTCACACAGAGTTGAAGAGGTAGGCACGCCCCTGACTGCCCTGGAAGGACTAAAGGGTGGAAGGGAGAAAGGAAGGGAGTCAGGGCTGTTGGTGGAGAGTTGCCAGGCAGCCCTTCCAGCCTCTCATTCCAGTCCCACCACGACCTGGTTACCTTGGAGATGAGGTCGTCGTGGTTGGCCAGGTGAGCGCGGCAGTGGGCACAGCTGTACCTCCGGTGACAATCATCCAAGTAGGCCTGAAACGTCTTGGGCTTTGAAATCCGCACCATGGCGGGGGCCGGGGGCAGTGGCCCCACGCGGGGAGCAGCCCACGGGGAGCAGAGGGAGCCCAGTGCCTGCCAGGGAGGGAGTGAGCGGGCTGTCAGGCCCCGGGGCCACATACATGCGGGCACACCCAGGGCCATGGGGACTCTGTCACACTTGGCTGCTGTCTCTTCTCCCCAGAGCCACCAGCTTCTCCAGGGGCCAAAGCCAGCTCAGTTTTGACTCACTGAGGAGGCCTCAAGTTGCATCATGGGGAAACTGAGGCTTGGAGGAGCCTGAGGTGAGTCACCCATCCACTTCCGGCCTCACCCCTGCTGACCTGGCTACTGAAGCTGGAGGAAGGGGTTTTAGAGTGGATGAGCTGTCAGTTCTGGTTTAGGGGGAAGTATGGAGGAATTAGGAACTGGATGGTCCTCAGGTCCTTAGGACCTCACCTGAACTGCCAAGGGCGGGGCTGGGGGGAACGCGGCTCCACTTGAGGTACAGGGAGTTCACCTGGGGAGAGGGTTCCTCACCTGGAGAAGGCAGAGGCCCTCATGCCTCTGGAGGGTCACCTAGGAGGGGAGGGGCTCTTACCTGGGGGGGCGCCGAGGCCTTGTCTGTGCAGAGGGGCTCTTACCTGCATCGCGGAGCCTTACCTGAGACCCCGGGGCTCACCTGGGGCGCGGGGCTGGGGGGCGGGCGCCGGG